ATGAAGTTTCAACATCCTTTGTTTATACTTTAAAGTCCCAAACTTTATAAAAAGTTAAAATACTGATTATTTAAAATATTCCTCCCATTATGTTTTTCTCATGAATATGAAGTGGGCTCAGAAATATAACACCAACTGTAGGCACACAGGTCTCTCCATGATTGCTGTAAAGTGATTGCTGAGTTTAATATTCCTTTCCAATAATACATCAATGTCAACCATTTAAGTTTTAGTGAAAAGATTCTCTTAAAACATCAGTTACACACAGAAATACTAACCAATTTAGTAATGTTTTTATAGTACCAGCAATAGAGATGTCAATCTTATCCTATTTTCTTCCCTGGAGATTTGGAATAAAACAATTTTAACCAATTTATTCACAACCAAAGGAAGAAATAAGTTCTGTTGAATGCAATTTCTCCAGAAACCATGGCTTTCTGGTATGACAGTATATAAAAAACTTTCATTAAACTAAATGCATTTTAATATTTACAGGATTGAATACTATCTCTTGTGATAAAGTGAGACAGAGCAATACTAGTTAAGTCTAGTAGCACCCAAATCAGTATTACCCTGAAAATGCTCAATAATGTGCAACATGTGTTATTAGTGAACTGTTATTTTCTATATCATTCTTGGCAAATATGGACCAAGGAGAGAGAAAAAGAAAGAAGATATTTACATGCAAAAATATTAAAACATATACCCCCTCACCTTCAGCCTAGTATTATAGATAAGCCACTCACAAAATATGGTAGGCCTCATGGCAATAGTATCTTTATATACTATTAATATAAAGTTGATTAGAAACTGCTATCACCCCTTAGTGTTAGCAGATGAATTTTCTTTATAAAATAATATAAAGGAGAACATACCTTTGCATTGATTTTATTTATGGCTTTGACCTCCTGAGAGGATGCATGCCTGGGATTCCCTCTCCAGAAGCCCTAGATTCATAGACATTAGGCCCTGTTTAGCAAAAGGAATCCCTCAGGATCACAGTTTTTCTCCCTCAAGTCAAGTGCGAAGGGTGACAAGACTGTCATAAACAACTTATTAAATTACCTCGTTCCCCCCAAAATCTGGATGTAGACTGGAGGATTTAAGGCACATACTTTTCTGAGCTGAAGACACTGCTACCTTTAAAAAGATCACGACTAATGAAAATACAAAATTGGGTGCTATTAAATTCATCACATTAATGTTACAGAGTATAGTGTTTAAAACAGACAGTGAAGGTCAAGGGCTTCTTTTCTATACAGAGGAAATCAGAACTATGTATTGCAGATCATGCTGCCTAAAAACCTATACAGTAGCTTTTACTGTTGTTAAACGCCCAGCTCACTATTTTGAACTAAATGGGTAGTAATAGTTACACCACCACAATTTAAATCTGTTTTGGATAAGAAGGGGTCATTAAAATTAGGTATTTCTGAATACAGCATAATTTTATATATTCATACTATACCTGATATAGTTTAGCCTACAAAAGGGCTTATTATTCAGAATAACTCTTTAAAGATCAAACTTTATTTGCAGAAATTATGTTTTGTGGGTGTGTTTTTTTTCCCATAGTGCAAAGGTAAACATTAACCAAGACTGTACCACAAATTCCAGGTTAATGAGGTATTACTTACTCCCTTTGGAAAGAGCAAGGTTGGCTACAGGAAAATCTTATTACTTGCTGGCCGTTCATTAGGGAGGAATGTGGGCAATATCCCAATAGCAGAAACTAAAGAAATCAATGAGAAAGGCTTTCAGATGGTAGTCTGGCAACTTAATTTTAAAACCATTCACTATTACTTTAAAGAACTTTCTTTGCTCAGGGATATCGCTGGTAACTTCTATTTCCCTGCCCTTTGTTGCTTTAAAAGATTTCTTTCATTTCACACTCCAGCAATGAGCCTTTTCCCTCTTTCTTGTTTAAAACTGATATTCACAATGTTTGTGTGGAATTGGTCTGCAGTGTTATACTGCACTAGTGTGAACTGTCTTTAACTTTTATTTACATCAATACAAAATTTTCTCAAATTTGAGTTACAATTTACAATGCAAGTCTTTTCTTTCAAATTTCATAGCCCAAAGTTCCACGTATCAAGAATTTTAGTAAGAGACTCCTCTGGCACACATTTAGAAGTAAAATATGAACGGTAACCCCCCAGACCTATTTTCCCTACTCAAATACAGGGAATACTGACAACCCTGACTAGCTTGTCCTTAGGTCAGCCATTCTCTGGCACCATGAAAACAAAATTTTCCTAGTTCCTAAAACCCTAAGACTATTTCACCTCTCAGTTTCGTGACACTGAGAACTGTATTCTAAGGATAAAGATTACTAAGAATGCTCAATGTATCCATTTCAATTTTAAGTATTAGCACTGAAGAATTTCATTCCAAACACTTTAATGCTTTGGCTAAGTAGTTTTATCCACATAAGTTTTGGTCACTAAAATTGTCCAAGTAGAGCTAAACATACTTATTTCACTAGGAAAATTAGTGCATATTCTATACATCTCAAAAGTTAGAGTTTATTAACTATAGTTTAAACACAAATATGTGACTTAACAACTAAAGAGATATAGACTATCATTTTAAATACAGAGTGAGCTAGATGATTCGGGAGCTGATTATCTGGTTTCTAGAATATCAAGTCCCTTATATCTCCTGGTTTAATTTCTAGTCACTGAGAAAGGGAAGGTAGGCGGGAAAAAACATGGGGGGAATCTTAGGAATTAGCAGCTCTTATAAAAGGTTAAAAGGTAAAAAGCTCTTGTAAAAGCTTTTTTAAGAAGATAAAACAACTATAATGTAGATTTCAGTAAAAGTCACGAAAGACAGCTGGACACTGATCTTAGGTTTTCAATGCACATATAGAGAACCATAGCAAACATTTTGATAGTTTGCTATATACATCTACATTATATAGCAAAAGCTAGAAACTGTTTCTGGTTAGACCTATTTACGCATCTGTAAAAGCTCAATCAGTGCATCTTATTTCTGGGAAACTGGAAAGAGGTATGCAAGGTTGAACACCATATTTACATACCTATCCATTTTTTTTTTTTTTACAAAGATTAACTCTTAAAAGATTACCCAAACTGTTACTTAGGTGAAGCTTGTAATAAATTTGAAAGTAAATTGAGGCATTTAAGCCAGAAAAATTTGGTCCTATTCATTTGAGTATTTTACTATGAATGCATAACTTATTTTCTATGGAAATATTTTATATATCTAAACTAAGTCACTTACAAAACATTTTGAGTTTGCCACTTAGGTGCTACTTAAGTCATCTTTACTATTCTTAGGTTTGTAGTATATAACTTGCTGTGATTCAAATGGAGAAGTAAACAAGACTTGTTATTACTTCCATTGTAAGACATAATCACCCATGTATACTTTGCTAGGCAGTAGAAATATACTAGATTACGTCCATAGACATAGAAAGTTTCTGAATCAAAAGGAAAAAAGAATCTTACTACATTATAACAAGGGGAAGGGATTTACTTTATAGCAGCGTTTCACAACTGCAGTCATGAAACTTTCATGTTGTTTCATGAATTAACATATAATACACAGACAAACCCTAAACTACCCTACAATATATTTTTTTCTAAAGTAAAAATATACTACATATGACAAAAACCTAATACATATACATATCATTACTGTAAAACAATCTGCTTTAAGAAATAATGCGCCCATTCATGAATGCCAGCAAGTCAGAAGGGAGGCCACCTCCTGCTTGCAATGCATTTCTGATCTGCATATTACTGTATAGGTAACATTTACCAAGCATCATGCTATCATAGATTAATGATCTAAGATTGTTAGTATGTGTTGTGTATCATATTTTATAATACCAACTTGTTACTGAACTGTTACTCAATTTTTACTGCATATTAAGCTGATTAATAAAAAGTTGGTCATTTCCAATAGCAAGTAATCTGTAAAAGCATTTTTCTTCTATACTTTAAGGATTATCTAATACTTTTTTATCAATATAAAAAATATTCCATGGTTAAACTGATTTTGAAAATTGTTCCATTGTGTACAAACACGACTGCTGCCCAAATTTTATTTGGTTTGTTGTGATGTTTTTCAAATCTAGAGAAAGTTTTAGTTCAGTACACACAAGCAATAGTCATAACTGACTGTTAAAATTTTTAAGTCATTTTCCCACTTCTTTGTGCAAGATACAAAGAAGCTTACATAAATCTCTATTCTGTCCAAAGAAATCTGACAAATTTTTTTTCAATCAAAAACTATTATTCTCTTATGATGAACAGAGTGATCAAGAGTGAGGCCTCTCAAGTGTAAGAGTGATTTGCGAGGGGTTTACTTCATGTATGAGCAAAAAATGAAGGTAAGGTAGTAATGAGCTCAGGTGTCAGATATACAATTGTTTACCTAGTCCTGTTAAAGCATATTTCAGCGTTCTGCATAGTATGGCAGGCTATAGGCTACTCTGGCATCATTTTTTTGCATAAACTTCCAAATCCTAGCTAGGATTTAAGGCACTATAACAGTCATTGCTGGATTACCTAAGGGTAATAGCAATCATATAAAATAAAGGAGCAGAACTGAAGAGTTTTAAAATCCCACATAAGGTTACATCCCTTACTTTACCAGATGGTGGGGTTAGAAAGGTTTAGGGCCTATGTAACCATCTGTGAGCTTATCTGAATAGCTCTGTAATTTAGACATATGGGCAATATATGAAGAGGGTTAATTCTATTATGGTATAGTGTTCAACCTAAACCCAAGGACAACTCTGGTAATAATTACAGCTTTGATCATTTATTTCTTTATCTTAATTGTTACCACTCAAGGTTTATTATAGCATTGCTCTTCAGAATGTTCTAGTCTGCTGTGGGAGTTATGCAAAACTTGAGCAAAAACTGCAAACAATCAGCCAAATTTAAAACGGCTATTCAGAGTGAATTACATTTAAATC